TTTTTTAAGATTTTATTTATTTGTCAGAGAGAGAGAGAGCACAAGCAGGGGGAGAGGCAGGCAGAGGGAGAGGAAGAAGCAGGTTCCTCACTGAGCAGGGAGCCCGATGTGGGACTCGATCCCAGCACCCTGGGATCACAACCTGAGTCGAAGGCAGACGTTTAATTGACTGAGCCACCCAGGCGTCCCTCCCCTGCAAATTTGTAGTCAAAGGCTTCTGTTGGTATGAGGAAGGAATCCCAAAATACTTTAGCTCTCCAGTCAGGAAATCTCCCAAGGCAATAAATTAAATTAAAATGGTTCTAGGATGGATGACTACTCCAGTGCATGGCCAAAGCAAAAGCAGATCCTCTCCAGAGAAAAATATTCTCAATCTGGGCAACTCGGGATTTTCACAGATTAATTTCACCCAAATATGAGTTCTCAATTAAAATTAGAAGTCCCCAAACACATGAGCAAGACAAGATGACATATATATAGGAGAAACAAACAAAAACCCCAGTAGATTAAAATCCCTAAAGATGTTAAGTGCTCAGATCATCAGTATAGAATATAAAATAATGATTTATGAAATCATTTTAAAAATCAAAGGTAGTACTGAAATGACTTTAAAGTTTTCATTCATATGGAGAGCAGAGCGATTCTAAACTTGCATGTATGTAATAAACAACCCAAAATAATGAAAGAAAACTTGACAAAACAGCAGGGAGAAGTTGAGAAATCTGTCACAGTAGTGGGGGATTTCAGCACACTCCTCTTTCTGTGGCTGATCAGACAGACGAGACACATTTAAAGATACTGATGAACTAATTAACCCATTAACCAACCTGTATTTAATGTCTGCCCACAGAATTTTACAGCCAGCAATTAACAAATACATATTCTTCTTCAGCACACATTGGAACAGTTACAAACAATTAAGTTATACAGTATTATTTGACCACCTTTTTGAAAAAGAACAATGAAGTTTGAATCCATTTACGAAAAGATTAGTACTCAAAGTCCATACTTTGAAAGTTTTAAAACTTACTCCTGAATAATTCATTGGTCAAAGAAATGATAATGGAAATTTTTTAAAATGTAGAACATAAAAATAATGTAAATACAACATATTAAAATGTGTGGGATTTTGCTAAAGTCGTTTTTTAGCTCTAAGGAAAATTAATGCCCTAAACTTATATTAGAGAAGAAAAGCTTATGATTAAGATCATATAAAAAACTAGAGGGGAACAATGACAAATATGTCTGTAGAAAGAAGAAAGGAAGATCACATAAATAAAATAAGAAAAAGCCAACCAAACAAAACCATGATAGAAAAGATCAGTAAAGTGAAAAGTTGAATTTTCTGGAAAAAAAAAAAAAAAGGCTAATAAAATACACAAAGCTCCGACATGAGTGACCATATGAAATAGAGATGAGGGACCAGTAAATAATAAAAAGCAACATAACTATACATGCAGTAGAGTTTTACAAAATAAAACTCTATGAACAATTTCATGTAGATGAATTTGAAAACTGAAAGGAAATGGAAAACTTTCTAGAAAATTCATCAAAATTGACTCAAGTAGAAAAAGTCTGTATATAGTCTTATTACCATGAAAGAAATTGACTCAGTAGTCAAGAAATCTTCTGACACACACACAAAAGCACGCATCCCAATAGTTTTACAGGTGAGCTCCAACAGACTTTTGCAGTCTCATCTACAAATTATTCCTGATGTTAGAAAACTAAGGACTATTCCTTATTTTATGAAGCTCAGCTCACCCTGACCAAAACCAGATGTAAGTCGTATGAGGAAGAACAATTACAGTTCACCCTCTCTTGTAAGCATAGATGTTCACTATATTACTAACATAACTTGGCCATCCATAAAATAATTAGTACATTACTAACTAAATTAATTAATTTAATTAATTTAGTAATTACTAAAATAATTAGTACAGCACAGCCAGGTTGAGGTTTTCCCAGGAATATAAGGTTGGTGTAACTTTAAAACCTCCATTTACAAAGTTGACCACATTAATGGATTAAAGGAGAAAAGAAAAAACTCCATATGATCATTTCAGTATAACCAATCAAGTATTTTATCGAATTCAACACCCACCCAAGATGAAAACTTCTCAGCAAATTAATGACGGGGGAAACCTGCACTGGGTATTTACCCAAAGTCCACAGCAAGTGTGAGTGAGAGGTGATGGGCGTGGGGGTGGGCTGGCCCCGAATTATAGGTGAAGGACAGGAGGGGCAGGTCAAGGTTGTGTATCAGTTAGGGGCAGAGGAGACACAAGGAGCTGGTGGTGTCCAGCTCACAGTTTACCTGCTGCCCCTCGAGGGCCCTGGACAACCCCTCAGTTCAGCCCTGAGATACCTCGTGGCTCTTTGTACTTAAAACCGCCCTGATTTCTGTCGTCACTGGGTGGTACGACACATTTGCAGTTTTATCTCACAGCCTTTTTGAGTAACATCAAAGCTTCCTTATTCTTGACTGTGTTTGGAAGAGTTCTGTGACCTGAACTGGGGACTGCTCAAAGTCACATGTAGTATTGAGTTGGTGGAAACGCAGCTAGTGTTTTCTCGATTTGCATTTCGGAGGGAAGACAAACCTGTGGTTTGGCTCGAGATTCTAGATTTTCATTCCACAGTTTGATCATTCTGTGAAAACCGCTTTCCCATTGTGAACGGGTTTTTAAGCTGTTAGACATTTAGGGGAATTAAAAAAGCATGAAATGAAATGCTTTGGAAGAAAGGGCTCGTGAGAGAACCATATCGAGCGTACCTCCTTGGATGAAAGATTTAGACTCCTCTTGTGAAATGGGAACATGGGCAAGGCATAACTAAATCATGGGGCCAAGCGGCATGATGGGCAAAGCTACGGAGGATGGACTTCCTTATAATGGATAAAGGGACCGGGGACCGACTATACCCACGGTATCCGCCCTGTAGATCCACTGTTCAAGCCTGAACCCAGGGTCTTCCTCTGCTCTTCCTCTGGTTTACTGCCCACTTGCTGTTAGTCACCCAGTCTGTGGATTCTTCCTGAACTTTTGTCCTCACTTCTGACTTTTGCTGGCCCAGCTTTGCTGCTGATGAATCCAGATGTGAAAAAGAAAAATAACACTAATAGTAAGTTGCTTCCTTTAATCGGACTCTCATTAAGTCCAAAGCATCGTGGGAAGGGTTTGAACCTTCTGTCAAGCCCATGATGCTTTGATACCCATTCTACAGATGAAGGAGGGAGGCTCAGGAAGGTTTCGGCATTGCATCAAGCTCCCGTCCCTGGAAAGCAGAGCCTGTGCCTTCTGCAAAGCCTGGCTCCTGTCCTCACATCAGTTTCCCTCTGCCTACTCTGGCCCCCTCTACACTGCAGCCCGAGGAGGCTCTCTGAAAAACAGAAACGATCATTGACAGCCCCACCCTCAACTCTGGATTATTTAAAACCCTCTCCTTCACTACTCTCAGAGGGACCCCGCATTTCAACCCCCGGACCTTCTCGCTGCTCCTGCACCCTTGAGCGACGTTCAGGCCTCCATTCCTCTGAATTACCTCTGCCTCGCTTCTGCTTCACCCCTTTGCAAGCTCATATCCATATTTTGAGACAAGCCAAATGTTGCCTCCTCTGCGAAGCCATCCATGATTCCCTCGGGCAGAGTTGGTCTCTTTCAGCTTTGTGCTCACACACCCTCCCTCCCCAATCTCTGCGATAGCAGGTGATGGCTGTTACCATCACTATAACTGTAAGGCTGTCGTCCACGCTAGGCTCTGAGTTCCCACAGTCCAGGGGCCATGTCTCATTCACCCCTGATCCCTTTTGCCCAATAAAAGGCCTGGAACTCTCCAGTCTATCATCTCATTATCTATCCGTCTAACCGTTCATTCAGCCTATACCTACGGAGTGCTTACCAGAGACAGCAGAGCTGAGGGATGGGGCCCAGAATCAGAGAAACCTGAAATCACTCCTCACTGAGGCTCCCGTGCAGATTTACGACTTCAGGAGTTTGACCGGTACTCTCTGTGCCTCAACCACCGTATCTATAGAATGGGATAATAACACATTTCTACCTTGTGCTGAATCGAGTCTAGCAGTACATGCTAGCCGACGTTATTATTATGAATAATCAAGACGATGATGCTGATCGTGACTGTTCTTTCTTCTGTGAGCCAGGCCCTGGGCTCCCTGTTGGAGAGAGGGGTGGACAGGACAGCTGTGGTCCCGGGCTCCCTGCCCTCAGCAATGAAACCGCAGTGAGGAGAGTTCCAGAATCAGGCCTTGGAATTCCACTCGTGCAAAGTGGCAGGTGGCTGCACGGGGTGTGGAAGGAGTCTGGGGGCCAGGCTGGCCTCTGGGAGAATGTGCTGTCAGCAGTCACAACCTGCAGGACACATTCCCATCTCATTTCCTGTTCTCAGCCAGGACTCGCCTGGTCTTGGAAAAAACGTGTGCTCTCTGTGCTCTACTCATGCCCTGGAGACACTGGCAGCTGTGGGTTCAAGCCTGCCTTCCCCACACAGTGGTCAGGGCTGGCCAGCGAGAGTCTGAGATCAGTGAGTGGTGCACGACTAGGCTCCGGGGGTGCTGACAGAACGCGCTGTCAGAAACTCATTAGCTGTTGCGAGCTCTGTGTTTGGTTATGTTTACCTTTGGGATGCTGCAACAAGACGGATGGTCGTAATTAGAAACGTCCATGGGTTAGAAGGCCCTGCTCAAAAGTGTTCAAAGGCTTCCATGGCCCTGGGGGCAAAACCCAAATGCTCAGCACACGATGGCCTCGGTTTCCCTCTCTGGCCCCCTTTTCTTCACTCTTGGTTCTTGAGCAGTGTTTCTGAGCCATGGGGGGGGGCTTTGAGTCTCTTTTGACAATTTGATGTAAGCTTTGGCTCCTTGGCAGAAAGGCAGACTCTTCTGCACTTATTTTAGGAAGATGATGGACTACCATCCTCTAAGGAGCCCATCCGAAGCCCCTTAGGACTAAACCGCAGTTTCACCCCCTGCCCCGACTTAGAGCCCTGGCCTATCTGGTGAGTCGTGGGTTCAATATGTCTGCATTCTGCACAGCCTCTTGTAGCCAGATTATCTGATTTTATTGGCCCAAGAATGCAGATTTCTTCTGCTTGGTCAGTGAGAGGCAGTGTAGCATGATGGTTAAGGACACAAACCCTGGCGTGACCTGGCCTGGCTCAGATTCTGGCTCTGCCACCTAAGAGCTGCATGAGACAGCAAACTACTTTAACTCTTTTGCCTTAATCTCCTCCTCTGTAATGGGGAAAATAAGAGTGTGTATTCCCTAGGGTTGTTACAAGGACTCAATGAGATTCATATATAGTGGGCACTAGGAGCGGTGCCCAGCGTGCTGTGGGTCCCATCAGCGACAACCGTGGTTGCAATGCTCAGGCACAGGCTTCACCCCAGATGGATGAACGTGTGCTGGTGCCTTAACATATTATCAGCGACAGGTGCCATCTGGTGGGCTCGGTGCTGAGCGCTGCAGACACCGAGCTGGAGATGCAGCCCTGTCCCCTGGAGTTCACACTCTAACAGGAGGGTACAGGGACATCAGGCAGCTACAAAGATGGGGCAGTGTCTGAGTTGGCTCAGGCTTCTGGAACAAAACACCATAGCCTGGGGGCTAAAACAACAGACGGTTCTCTCCTAGTTCTGGAGGCTGGAAGTCCAAGATCAAGGCGCCAGCAGTCTGTTGCTGCTGAGAGCTTTCTTCCCGGCCTGCAGACAGCCACTTTCTTATTGAGTCCTCACCTGGCAGAGAGTGGGGGTCCTGGTCTCTCTCTTCCACGCCTTAGAAGGACACTAATCCCATCATGGGGCCCCACCTTCATGACCTCATCTAAACTCAGCTGCCTCCCCAAAGCCCCACTCCCAAATCCCATCCCGCTAGGGATGAAGGCCTCAACATAGGAATTGTGAGGGGCTGCAGACATTCTGCCCATCTGTGATGGGCATACACAGGGGAGGGTGAGTGGGCGCCTTCAGAGAGGGAGTCTGCACCGTCCCAGGACCTGAGGGGCCCTTCCCTGTGGAAGTTCTTGAGCCAGGGCTCGAAAGGAGACTCGGGAGTAGCCAGGCAAACAGAGGAGGGCCCTGCAGGTGGTGGGAGCCGCATGTGCGAAGGCAGGGAGGCGTGAGAGGTCGCGGTGTGGCCTCCTTGCGCTATTTGGCACAGCTGGACAGGGGACGCGGGCAAGAGTGGATCATGCCAGGCCCAGGAGGTCTGATTTAATCTGTGGACCCCTCACCTTCTGTGCACAGGAGCTCCAAGAGCTGGAGAGGAAGCTAGAAGACAAGCTGGCACATCAGGAGGCAGTCCAGCTACAGCGGGCTCTGGCGAGTCGGCAGCAGTGGGCTGGGGACGAGCCCGGGCTTCTGGCAGAGCCTGAGGATGCAGATTCTGGAAGGCACGTCTCTGCTGTCCTGCAGCAGGCCCTGAGCCAGGGCCGGAAATTACTGGAGCGCCACCAGCAGAGGTGAGCCCAGTGCCCGGCGGTGGCGCCGTGTGGGATGGGTCCTCTGCAGGCCTGGGGGCCCCTGGCCTCTCCACTCAGCTGGACGCCGCCCCCGGCTGTCACGCTCTTGTCTGAGGCATCCTCCCAGTGCTCAGACACCAGCTGCTGACTTAGGAGCGCAGTTCTTCCCTGACATCTAACTATACTTTGGTTTATTTTCTTTGTAAGGTCATTGAGGTTTTCACTGAACATATTTTTTTAAGCTTTTTATTTTTAAATAGTTGTAGACTCACAAGAAATTTCAAAAATAGTGCAGGGAAGGTCCATGTGCCCTTCATCCCGCCTTCCCCAGTGGTAACATCGTACATAATCATAGCGCTTTGTCCAAACACCAGTGCGATGCAGTGAATACAGATCTTAACTCAGATCTCACCATGAACACAATAGTCCATATCCTGCTTTTATAAAATTATAAAACAGACAGAACCCCCATCTTTTGTTAGGGCTGTTCTTTGCATTCTTCTTAATTAACAGACAATTATCCTTTGCCCAGGGCATTAAGAACTCTTAGAAAACGTACTTTTAACGACTCCTAGTTTTCCACTGGGAATATAACGTTGATGTGGAAAGGACGGGGTACAAACTAGAGACGTGGTGTGATTATGTTTTTGAAAACACATGTGCACAAACTAATGAGCAGCAAAGAGACTCAGTTGTAACGGATGTGACTTCTGGGTGGTGAGTTTACAGGTTATTTTAATGTATTTGATTATGCTTTCCTGGAACTACAACATTGAAGTGCAGTTCTGCTCCACTGAACTAATTGTATGAGAGGCTGGATCTCATAAAAAAGGCCCGGAGACGCCGACCTGGTTTACACCAGGATTTTCGGGTATATGACCCTCTTGCATGCCTCATGCTTCGTGGTGGAAATTGCTCACAAGAAAAGCTTTTGACATGAGTTTCTGGTTGTGTTAGCCGACAAGAATGCAGGGTGGATCATCCATGGCGCCACCTCTCTCAGCTAAGGGACCAGGTAGGCTGTAGACCCTCTCACATGGAAGTTAGAAGGCCTGAGGGGGACCCCCACGTGGAAAGGCGCCACCAGCCTCTGTGGCCAGAGCTGGGACCAGGCTGGGAACATGGTTCTGGGTCTGCTTCCACACGGGGGGCACATGGTGGGTGAGGACTTGAGCATGACAACAATCCTGAGAGTTTTCCAAGTAGGACCACCAATGGCCCAGCAAAGCCACAGAAATGTCTCCATACAGCTCCCACAAAACTTCTCCCTTTGAAGAGCCCTCTGTCCTGGCGGGCCTCCGTAATACGATATTTGCAAAAGAAATGTTCTAGAACAAGAAGAGATACGCCTCTTCTGGTCATCTCTTTCAATAGATTTTTTAAAATATACAGATGAGATTTGTGATTGTTATTTAAATAACTAGATGGTCTTCTCCTGGGATCACGTTATAACCCAAAGTGGACTCACATAGATTTTGTCTGCACTCCAGTTGGAAAGAGGAGCGAGACCACAGCGTCGTGCTGGAGGACTGGCTGGAGAATGTGGAGTTCGACACCTTTGCAACCCTGTACAGCCAGGTGAGGACCCGTCAGCCGTGTCGTGGGCCGGCTCTCCTCAGAGTGCACGTGTCTTCACCTGTGGCATGGGCGGGGTGACAGCGGGACCCGGGCAGCTGCTGAGTGGATTGCTGACAAGCGCCTGGCACCAGGCCAGCAGGCAGAGGACATTCCCGTCAGGCCCAGGGGCAGCAACAGTGATGGTCCTGGTCAGGCTCTTTTCTGAGACTCGCCAGGCACCCAGACGTGTTTCCTCTTCTCTGATTGATGCGAGTTTAACATGCACAGAGGGGGCTCCGCCAGGAACAAAGCTGGCCACTGAAATCAGGTTTCACTCTCTTTAAATGCTCTAGCCATTCTGTTTCATGCCACTGCGCATTCCCTTTAAAGCAAGATACTTCCTCATTCCTGCACGAATAACATGGGAAGGGGGTGCCCCTTAAGAAATGAATGGCACTAACCCAGTGAGGCAGGTTCCCTGTGCTGTGGGAGAGGCCGGGACCCCAGACCCATTCCTCTCGGAACTCCTCTGTTTACCCCCTCGAGGCTCCAGGGTGACTGCAGCCTTTTGTAGACAAGGTGGAGTCCCCTTGACTTCAAAGACCCTGACATCCTCTGAAGAGACTTGGCTCATGAATAAATATTCACTGTGCTTCTAGTAAGCAGCAAGGGCTGTCTTGGGCACTGGGATTTCAGTAGTAAACACAAGGGATGAAGTCCATGCCTCCAGGAGCTGATATTCTAGTGGGGAGAGCAGGCAGTCAACAAAATAAACTGAATAGTATTTGATGTTTTGATGTGCATTATGATCTCATTTTTATAGTTATGTCCATCTATCCATCCATCCACCCACCTATCCATCCATCCACCTGTCCATCCATCCATCCATCCACCCACCTATCCATCCATCCATCCATCCATCCATCCATCCATCCATCTCTCATCCATCCATCCCATCCATCCATCCATCCCCCATCCATCCATCCCCCATCCATCCATCCATCCATCCATCCATCATCCATCCCCATCCATCCATTCCCCCATCCATCCCCCATCCATCCATCCATCCATTCATCCATCCATCCATCCCTCATCCATCCATCCATCCATCCATCCATCCATCCATCCATCCATCCACATATATGTCCAGAAAGATGCTTGGAATGGTGCTTGCCCAATATTACTGATAATTATTTCGGATAAAGGCATTTGGAATAATTATTTTAACATTCATCTTTGTGCTTTTCCTCATTGCTGAAATTCCTTAAAATTTAAACAGATTAAAATTAAAACAACAGAAATCCATACAGGAAGGAGGGAAAGGGTCCTTGTATAGAGGGAGGCAGGAGCAGGCACAGGGAGAAGGCAGGGCCGTGTGACCATGGTGGAGGCAGAGGATGAGCCCCTTTGACACCCTGACTTTGGCCCAGTGGAAGTGGCTTCAGACTTTTGTCCCCAGAGTGCAGGAGAAGAAAGGCATGTTGCTGTCTGTGTCTCACCAGCGTGGGACCGTTCCACACATGGCAGTCATTCTATTCTCACGGGAACCTCTGCCGTGGGTGGTATAGTTACCCCACTTCATAAATAAGGAAGCTGAGCACAGAGAGAAAGAAGGGCGTTGTCCCAGGACACACAGTGTTCTTTCTGTGCAGTGGGCCTGGAGGCCAATCGAGGCTTTCCAGAGTGCGGAACCCATACTCACTCATTTTTTTAACCTCTTATTTTGAAACACTTTTAGATTCCAGGAAGTTACAAAGCTAGTATAGAGAGTTCTAGAACCCCACCCCATGTTTCACTCAGTTTCCCCCCATGGTTGCCTCTTACAAGTTCTAGCACTGTATCAGTGTATGACATTGGTTACAAAATGTGTGCATGGTTCTGTGTCAGTTCATCACATGTAGACTCACGTAACCAGCACCATAAGCAAGATACAGGACTGTTCCATCGGCACAAAGACCTGCCTTGCGCCGCCCCTTTCCAGGTGCACCCACTCCTCTCCCATCCCTGACCCCCGGCAACCACAACGCTCTTCTCCATGTCCGCATCTTGTCAGTTCTGGAAAGAAAGACACAGAACTCTGATAGGATGTGACCTGTGGAGACAGGCTCTTTCCACGCGGCACCCATCCAGGTGTGCCCAGAGCCCAGCCTCCTCAACCATCTGCTGGTCCGGGGACATTCCAGTTGTTTGCTAAGCTGTTGCTGTTTGCTCCAAGCAGGAGAGGAAAAGCCTCACCAGTTGGCCCTGCTGCTGGCCCGAGGTGCGGCTCTGGTGCGTGTGTTGAGAGCAGTCGGGAGGACGGATGAAGGGTTTGGATGCATTGCAGTGAGCCGGGGTTGCTGACCACACAGATTTTTCTTGACAGCTCTGTGAATTTGGGGACGTGTTTCCACGACCGAGCTGCTAAAATATTTATCTCCGTGGGACAAACCGTCCTAAGACTGTCTCGTCCATTAAAACATGTCGTTTATCAAGGTGAGAGCAGTGAGGTCACGAGCTTCCCGTTAACCCCTCTAGGAGCTGAGACTGGCGTCGTACCTGTCCAGGCTGGCCATGGTGCCAGGCAGCACGCTGCGCCGGCTCCTGAGCGTGGCTCTGCCCGCGGCCTCGCAGTCTGAGCTCCTGGCCGCGCTGGACCCGGGCAGCCAGAAGCATCCGGACCACATGGTAGAGACTGATGGTGGCGGGGAGCAGGCCGACCTGGGCAGGAGGAGGTGAGTGCGGCATCGGGCTGCTTTTAGGAAAGAGTTGGGGGGATTCCATCATGAAGGGAACACAAGCAGGGAGGAAGCAGGACCCTGCAGGCCCAGCACACACACCCTCCTGGTCGGCACTTCATTGCTCCGGGAGCAAAGGACATCCAGACCGGTGGCCAGGAACCCTTTTTAAGTCATGGGAGGCCTAAGAATTTTGTTCAGACTTTTATCTTCGTCACCAATTTATTTTTCAAGTAGAATCTTAAGAAAATATTTCCCCTCCCATAAATGTCATACACACACATTAAAGGAAGTGTAAAAAATACATACAAGGAAAAAGAAGAAAAAGGAATGTCCTGAAGACGTTCTGTGACTGTCTGAAGATAGTCTTCAGACTATCTGAAGAAAATGGCTGAGAGCATTTTCTTACAATTCTTCGTCCAGAATGTGTTTCTGGGTTTGATTCTTATTTATTGCTGGGTTTTATGAGTGTGTTTGGTGTGTGCATGTGTGTGAGTGTGTGTAAAACCCATACGAATATCTGCGTGTGTAGTAATCCCAGCATATACAGCCTCGCGTCCTGCTCCTCAGAACCTTACAGCACAGGGAGTTTGCTTATTTCCTTCTGACTCTTGTCCATGTGCGGACCTCGTTCTGTGCAATAATTATCACACCATTTAGGCTCTATTCCCTGCTGTTTTATGAATTTCAAATTCATACGTGGCAGTTATTGAAACCCCTTCATAGGTACTGTTGTTAACGACTGTGTAATATTCCACGGAGGAGTGTAGCAGTTACCCTCTGACGGGACATTCGGTTTGGATTCATTTCTTTCCTCGATTACGGATAATGCTGCCTAGATACTTTGCTTTAGAAGCAGGTTCCGGGTGTGAATTTGGTCATCAAAGGCTCTAAATTTATAAGGAAAGGCAGGAAACAGGTGTGGAGTGAGTGGGTGTGGGAACAGCAGCTGGGCCACTTGAGAATAGAGTTTGGGGGGGACGAGGTAGCCAGAAAAGCCACAACCACACATGAAAAGAGTGTTGACCGCCAGGCCGTGAAGCCAGCCTCCGCCACCAGGGCCCACGAGTCGGCCGAAGCGGCATGACTGTGCTCGCAGACGTGTAGGTACATGATTTTCCTGAGAAAGGGGGCAGTGTCTTTATATCAGGCTCACAAGGGGTCCCTGACTCAAAAAGGTAAGAAGCACTGCTAAGGGGGAAGAGTAGGGCTGGGTGAGAGGCAGGGTGGGACGTGGGAACAGCCGCGCAGTAGGGGTGGGCGTCCACGGGGTGTGGTCAGAGGGCTGAGCCTGGGCGTGGGCAGGCCTGGGTGCGTGTGGTCAGGGGATGAGTATGAGCGTGGTCAGGACCGGGTAGGTGCTGTCAGAGGGATGGGTGACTGGGTGTGAGTGTGGTCAGAGGTCTGGGTGTGGGCGTGGCCAGACGGCTGGGCGTGGGCGTGGTCAGAGGGGTGGGTGTGGTCAGAGGGCTGGGCGTGGTCAGAGGGCTGGGTGTGGGCGTGGGCAGAGCTGGGCAGGTATCAGAGGGCTGGGTATGGGCGTGGGCAGGTGTGGTCAGAGGGCTGAGCCTGGGCGTGGGCAGGCCTGGGTGCGTGTGGTCAGGGGATGAGTATGAGCATGGTCAGGACCGGGTAGGTGCTGTCAGAGGGATGGGTGACTGGGTGTGAGTGCGGTCAGAGGATTGGGTGTGGGCTTGGTCAGAGTTTTGGGTGTGGGCGTGGTCAGAGGGCTTGGCATGGACATGGTCAGACCTGGGCAGGTATCAGAGGGCTGGGTATGGGCGTGGGCAGGTGTGGTCAGAGGGCTGAGCTGGGTGTGGTCAGGCCTGGGTGGGTGCGGTCAGGAGATGAGTATAAGCATGGTCAGGCCTGGGAGGGTGCAATCAGAGGGCTGGGTGTGGGCGTGGTCAGAAGGCTGGGTATGGGCGTGGTTGGGCCTGTGTGGGTGTGGTTAGGGGGTTGGTTGTGGGCAGGGTCAGAGAGCTGCATGCCACAGGGTGGTTTCTCTCAGTGCACAGCCAGAGAGGGACACGCAGATATTGGAGGTGACCCTGAAGCAGGAATGTGGCCACCCACGAGGACCTTGTTTACTGGGCTGTGCCTTCAGCCAGCTCAGTTTGGGAGGCTGGTAAGCGGAGATTGCTGATGGACAAGGCAAGAGAACTCAGGGTGGCTGTCACCACGAGTGTGGAGTACACGTGTGCCATTTCTTTGCCCTGCCTCATGGCCAACTGGACTGGATCAGTTCTGGATCTCTAGGCCACCTGCCACAGTCTCCGAGGGCAAGGCAGTCACCACTCCTCTGGCCCAAGCACCTGGTGCCTGGCCACAAGCTCAGGGTCTAGGGTTTCAAGCAACAAAAGCTGCCTAATCTCAGCAAGAAACGGTGTGTGAGGGACCTGTCAAAACCCAGGGAGAGCCGGATGCCCAGGTCCTGGGATGGGCAGGACCAGGAGAGTACAAAAGATACGCTCTCTGGGGTGCTGCCCTCAGAGGACCATTTTCTCTGCCCAAGAGTTCGACTCCTGGGTGAGCGAGCTGGCTCAGCAAGGGAGAGGGTCCGTCTCCACCACCAGCCAGGCAGTGTGAACCAGCTTGGTCAGAGCAGAGAACAGACAGGACTCTGGGTTCCACACTGTCCTTTACTGAACGGACGTGAGCCCAAGACCCTCTCCTACATGACACTGCAGTGTCCCTTCCCTTACGGGGAGAGTCACAGTCCTTCACGTAGCATTAGGGTTCCTGGGCCAGCCCACCTCCCAAGCTTCCGCTGTGCTATTTCAACTTTCTTAATATATTCATAAAACACTCCTGAGCTCCTACTGTGTCCCTGTTGTAGGCACTAGTGTACCTGGGAGAGTAAGGGGGCGTGGTGGACCCTCCATAAGTTAACACGTAGATCGCGTTCCTCCACACATGCTCTGTGTCCTCCCTCTGTAGGGATGTAGGACTCACCTCAAGTGTCCCCACCTCTAGTCAGCCTTCTGCTGTCTGACTGATGTCACCCGTTACCCGGCTCTGACCCCCGGACTGGGAACCCCTTGGGGGCAGAGATTGTATCTTGACCAGAGAAGGTTCTCGATCTGTGTGCCTTGAGTGGTAGACAGACCATGAAAATGAGTTCTTCCTGTCAGCCCAAGGTCATGTTGAGGGATGGAGTGCCATCGTGCTTTTCAGGAAAAGTCTATTCTAGGAAATATTAAGACCCTCCCTTCTTGCCTTCAGGAAGCACCAGGGCTGGTGGCAAGCCCTGGAAGGCCGACTGCGAGGAGAACTGATAAGCAGAGGACTGGAGAAGATGCTCTGGGCCCGAGAAAGGAAGGAGAGGTAACGCTGGGCACCTGCTCCGGTCAGCTCGGTTGCCTTGAGTGGGACGGGAGGTGAAGGGCTCAGGACCCTGGGAGAGGGTGACTGCAGCCATACCCACATTCCTTCCCAAAAGACCACAGTCTTTACTCACAGTGGACTTAGTTTAGGAGCTGAAGATAAGCCTCTTGCTGTCAGTGGGAGAATGTTCTGTTATCATTTGTTAGCACTTTACTGTATTTATTTTAGCTCATGGCAGTTTTCAAATGGGATGTCCTTAAAGGGAGAGTAAATCCGTATTGCTGTTTGGAGTTTATAGTTTACAAAGCCCTTTGCCACCTACAGCACTGAGCCTCCCACTCTTCCAGAAAGTGGGGATGGTAACACTGGAGCTCAGGGAGGTCAGAGGAAGAGGCGTCAAGCCTGCAGCTGGCAAACGGTGGCCATGGGATTTGGGAGCATCTGACTAACCCCTTTCTTTCCCTAGACTTGCAGGCCAGTGATCTTTCCACTCCATCGAGCACCTTTCTCTTTTAGCTGTGGTCTCTGCACACCTGGGGGTCAGAGGAAAGTCAGGGGCAGGGTAGTTTTAGATTGCTACAGTTGACCAAGTGCGTCCAGTGTTTCCCACTGGAAAAGCTTTGGAGAAAGAGTGACGTCCCGTAGGTTCATAACAGGGTAGAAAGTGATCATATCCAGTGCGTGCTCTGGAAACAGTCGATGTCCAAGGGAAGTATGTGACCTGAGTCCTGCCTCTTCCCTAGTTTCTCAGCTACGGTAAAGGTGCTGAGGCCAAGCTTCATGAATTGTCCATGTTAACAATTCCGCAGCCATTGATCATAGTCTGGATGTCAGAATTTAGTCCCAAAGAAATTAGATCAGGATTTTGAGCCCAAACCAAGAAAATTAAATTCAAGCTGTATAAATGTGAAGTCCTCCATGAAGGAGCAGAAGTCAGTCCCTCCAGATTGGGATGGGGGAGCAAAGGCACTCCCAGGCTGCACTTACGTGAGCGGAGTGAGTACAGATCAGGAGGAGTACTGGTCCACTCCCCTGGCTCACTCTCCTAGCCTGTGCCCTGCCTGGAGGCTCTTAGAGCTATGGCAGGAAGACGAGAGACTGAATCACACAGAGCTGGGTTGGGATCCTTGCTCAGATTCATACCAGCTGCAAGGGCAGGAGGCAATGAAGCCTCATCTGCCACATCTGCCCTGGAAGGGTCAGCAAGCCTGTCAGCGACATCCAGTAGGTGACCCTCAGTGGCATGGCCATGGCATGCACTGCTTGGACACAGAGAGAACCCTGTGGCTTTTAGCTGGTATAGGGCTCTTAGAAGTAGTCCTGGCCATTACCAAGAGCATCCAGGGATTTAGGGGCTGGACCACTCATGGACAGGATTCCCGCAATCCTTTTATGGGACATCCCCAAAGATGTCATTTTTCTGTTTCAAACGCAGTTGGCCTGGCCTCTAACTCTTGCTTTGTAGTCAGATCTCATCAGCCTGCTTTGGGTATGAGGCTCACAGGCAGTGACATCCTGGTAAACGCTGAACCATCTGCTGGTAGGGAGAGAGACAGAGACAGATGCTCTGATTTGTAGCATTTCCCAATTTCCATGGTGTACCTACACTGACCAGGGCCAATTTCAAACTAACAACATGATGACAAGAGGCTTGCAAAACTTCTGCAAAGTTAACAGTCATGAGTCAGGAAGAGTTGTCTGTAGACACCACTTGCCACAGGCTTCAGCTCATTTCAGGGGCAATCTGATGACCACAGTGTCTTTCATTAAAGTGATACCTGATTGAGGACCTAAGGACCCAAAGTGAGTTCTCCTGGAGAAGTCCATCAGGACACTCAGGAGGGTCAGTTGCCAAAAATGTCAAATCTGATCTTCTGTTCTTTCTTTAGTATATTAAAGAAGACATGTCCCCCTCTCAGAGAGAGGGTGGTATTGCCTGGAAAAGGAAGCTGGCCGCATCTGTCCCTGGAGTCCATCGGAGAACTGGCTGCCGTGCCCATTGTAGGGGCAGAGACCATTGATTTATTAAACACAGGCGAGAAGCTCTTTATATTCAGAAATCCAAAGGAACCAGAGATCTCATTGCATATTCCGCCCAGGAGAAAGAAGAAGAACTTTCTAAATGCCAAAAAGGCCACTTGGGCCTTGGGCATGGACTAGTCCTAAGGAAAGCTCCAGGGAGTCTGAAGACAGAGTTTTCTTTTTCCTCTGCCCGTGTGTGTGTGTGTGTGTGTGTGTGTGTTCATAGTGTACAACTCACAGATGTAAGTCACACATGCAGAAGACCAGACACCCCCCCAACACCCACGACCTTCAAGGACTCAGTTTAATCTGGTCTTATGATTTTCCAGAGGGTCTACCCTCCTCAGCATCACGAGGGACAGCCTTGAACCCTTGTTGCCTTCAGTCTCACCTCTCTGCGCATCTGGGGGAGACCCTAGCCCTCAGTTCATACCCCTGTAATGTCTGGCTGCATATGGGCTGTGTGTCCAAGTGAAGCTCTTTGTTCCTGCGTTTTGTGTTTGTTACATATTCTATTTTTATCAAGGGAACTTTCAAAAATAAATGCATTTTACATAAAGCTCTTCTCGGTGGCGCTCGGTTTTGCTTTATGTAGGAATCCTTTATTTTTAGTTACTTCTTGTGTTTTGGCTACACGTTGTTGTGTTCCACAGAGACTTGCCCTCTATCATTCCAGGGGCCAGAAAATGTGCCAGCCACTGGGGCATATGATCTCCAACTCAAATTAGAGTTACTTCCCCCTTTCATAAATGAGGAAATCCAAAGGCTTAAGATGAGGTGATGTGTGCAAAATCACAAAACCAGTAAGTAGCAGAATCAGGGTTCATACTATTTTTTTAAAAAATTATTTATTTATTTATTTGAGAGAGAGATTGAGAGCACAAGCGGGGGGAGCAGCAGAGGGAGAGGGAGAAGCACACTCTCTACTGAGCAGGGAGCCTGACTTGGGGCCCCAACCCAGGGTCCCGTGATCATGACCTAAGCCAAAGGCAGGAGGGTCGGTTGGTCGGTTACCGACTGAGCCACCCAGGCGCCCCCATGGTTCATACTCTTTATGGCCCCAAAACTTCTCCCTTTCTCCCAGACTCGATCAGTGGGCACATTTGCCAACAAACAAACTGCACGCAGGTCCTTGTGTTTCACAGAGTGCTTTTATCTGCTCTGACCCTTTCCACTTTCATAGCAGTGGTTGGGCCAGTGATGTCTCCTTGGGCCTAGACTGGATCATTGCATGAGCTTTTCTAAAAGCCAGGCAAAGAATACAATTGTGGTGCACCTTTCCTAAGGGTAGGAAATGATTGAGAAGGGAATCCTGTCACCAGCAAGGGGAAGACAAGGGACCCTGATGAAGCATCTGCTGCAGGAGAGTCACTGCTGGACCCTTCCAGCTACTTTAACCCACTTCCAGTCCTCGCTAATACCCCAGCAAGGTGGGCATCACTACTCCCATTTTGCAGCCAAGGAGGCTGAGACACAGAGAGCATAAGTAATTTGCCTGCGATCACACCACCTACAAGGGAGGGATAGGGTTTTGAAACCAGATCTCCTAACTTTCAAACCCTATCTGCCATGAGACATTTTGTTTGTTGACGACCAGAAGGCCAAGTCTTCTTTATACTTTCCCACCAGCATGCATGCAGCGTGCTGAACAGGGACCTTTGCTGGGGGTCATACTTCTTCCATAATGAGCTGCCACATGGCCATGACACTACATTAATGGATAAGCATGAGCAAGCAGTTCAAGTGTAAAAAAGAAGAGTTGATGGGGCCAGCTTTCCCATCAGAAGATCCGGTGAGCAGAGAGAGGACAAAGAGCAGTGATTTTCACACATAGAGTAGTGGAGTAGAAAATGCATGATCTTTGGTGTAAGATGACTTGAGTTCATCCCACCCCACCACTTGTGAGCTGTGTGTCCCTGGGCAAGTCACCTGACCTTTCTGAGCCTCATGTTCGTCGTCACCAACAAAATGGTGATGAAAATCCCTTGTTGTGACGGTTAGATGAACTGGATCTGTAAAATGCTTGTTGGTGGTGTGGGCCTACCACGTCTGTGTCCTTCTCTTCCCCTTGAAGGTGACCCATCTGACTTTCTAATAATTTCCTGCTTCTACAGCGCTCTGCTAGAATTCTGCATGGTTGAAAGCAGATTGCACATAAGGATCTCAAAAAATAGCTCAAAATTATGGGCTGGAGGCTGATTGAAGAGGCTATTAGCAACAACAGGAGGTGCCCACGCTGTTTAAAATACAGCATTTCAACCTAATAATAACTCCCTATGTTAATAGAGAAAGACAACTATTGATTTACTTTCTCTACTACATGACAAACATGAAGACTGGGGGAAGCTTGTGCTTCTGCAGTCAGGTAGATCAGATTTGAATCCTGGCTGGACAACTTTGGAGCAAGTCACTGTACCACTCTGAACCTCAGCCTCCTCATCTGTAAAGCAGGGATCCTAATACTTACTTACCTTAGAGTTAAGGTGTCATAAAGAATGGAGATATTGGCTATTATGTCCATAGTGTCCAATAAAATATTGGTGTACAATAAATGTAGCTTATTTGTTTTATTATATTTTTACACATTCACAAAATTGAGCTTGATGACTCATTTCATTTCCATTGACACTCTAGGTGAACACAGTGACCCTTCTAGAAGGGGCTGTTCCTACCACAATACATGGAAGCCTACTCATGAGAGAGAAGCTCCAGGGAACTTGGATTGAGAGGACTTCAGTTCAAGTTTGTGTTCTGTTATTTGTAAGCTTCATGAAATTGAGAAAATGGCTAAACTTCTCTGAATCCCAGCTTCCTGTGGATTCTATCTTCTATGATAAGTTCAGTCTGATTGAGTTGACTGACACAAAAATAAGTAATTGTTAAATGCAAGGGATAAAATAGATATATGAAAATCATGCTGTGGGATTTGGGATTGAGAGCCAACCTGACTGGGGAGATTTGAGAACAGCTTTATGTTTATGACCCCAAATCTTTATCTCCAGATTAGACTTCTTCTTGGACTCCAGACACTTATGTCTACAGCTTGCTGGACATCTCTTCCTGGACACCTCACAGATACCTCAACCACAGCATGTCCATCCCTGAACTCATCAGCTTCCTTGAGTGGATGGTACCAAGCCAGAAACCTATCAGTCATCCTAGACATCTTCCTGTTTCTCAGCCCCCAAATATGATGACCAAATCTTGCTGATTGTATCATTGCATTAGCCTTGACATTTAGGCCCTCCTCCACCCCTTCACTCCTGCCCAGGACAGGGTATTACCACTTCTCTCCTGGTTGGTGCCAATAGCCTCCTTCCCTCCAGGCTGGCCTCAGCCTGTTTGCTCCATGGTAGCCATATCTAAGTCACTCCCTTGCTGAAAGACCTCCAAAGACTCTCCCTTTCTTCTAAGACCCCTGTGCATTGTCCTCTAATTACCTTCCTAGCTATTCTATAGGGGAAACCCCTACTTTCCAAGGAGCCATTGAATGACAATAAGATGCAAAGGATAAGGTGGATCTGGGTTTGCCTCTCAGATCTGCCATTTACTGAGTGGCCCAAGAGAAGCCACCTATCTTCTGTGAATCTCTGTTTCCTCACCTGTTTTATAGAATTAATGAAATGATACCTATAATGTGCCTGGCACAGGGAACACGCAATAAATGTTAGGTATTATTATTGTTGTAGAAAGTTTATAAACAGAGGAGCGCCATTATCTGATTTGTTTTGGAAAGGTAAGGCTAAAGGCCTTGTGGAGGATGGGTCAGAGGTAGAAGCAGTTACTTAGGGTACTCATTGACCCATTCTCCAACACACAGCTACAGGGAGTGAGGAGAGCCAATCTTTTTTTTTTTTTTTAAAG